TCTTCGGCGGGACAAGACTGTATACACCGAAGCCACGGAGTCTGCAGGTCCTGTCATTGTGACAGAATAGATCGGCTCCATGAGACGCGGAGATGCCATAAGGAACGACGAGTATACAGCACGGCGGGCTGTAGGGATGATCTGGCCTCCACCGCGGTAGATAGCCTGATCGGCCAGGGACACGTCTGTGAGCCTGAACTTTGTGTTTCGAATGGCTAAACTTCAATTAGTGTCACATTCATCATCTGCGCCGAGACTGCAAGATCATTGGCGAATGAGGGGGAAGTCAAAACTTACGTTCTTCACAAAGAGGGCCTTCCCGTGTACCCCAGCTGAAGCCTTGAGTGATAGAGTCCCTAACAGTACCGAGAAGCTTCTTATCCACTTGAGAGGGTAAAGTGTCATCTTGGAGAATATTGGGGCCCATTTCATCCGGTCCAAACGCCCAGATGCTTCGGGCTGCAAGCTTATCCCAATCGTAATTGTCCTCGAAGTATCGAGCAACCTTCCGAATGGGGTCCTTGATACTGACCTTACCACTTTCAATATCCTCTGCAATCCCATCATCTAAAGGCTCCGCAATCATCGTGATTTTATTCTTCTTATTCGGAGTGATTGAGTAACACATGATGGCAGAGGTTTCCACCACAGTCTCACAGAAGCGTGTAACGGGGTCGGAGACCTTGATCTCCATCTCTGAGTATAGTTTCCGGAGGTCATGGAGCACACAGTCCATGTAAAGCTCGCCAGTTCCTAGAACCACATGCTCACCAGACTCCTCAACCTTGGTTGAGATGAGGGGGTAGCTCTTGTTGATTTTCCGCAATCCATCCAACATCTTGGGAAGTTCTGATGGATTGACCGGCTCAACGGCGACCTTAAACACTGATTCAGTCATGTGCCGAATCGGGCGGAAGATGTAGACCTCCTCGTCATCTTCAAGCTTCAGGGGCATCAGCGTCGCAGTCTTGACAATGGAGTTGTCCACGCCACCCAAAAGAACCCAGTTTCCGGCAGGGACACCGTTGGTTGGGATGTTGTAACGCGTCTCCGCAATCCACGTGTCGGAGATGGTTGCTACCACCATGTCTTCTTCGTCTTCCGGCGTGTAGCCCTCGCCGAGGACACGGACCTGCTGACCAGGCCGCGCTGTGCCACTCATAATTCTTCCAAAGGAGTAGAAGCTTCCGGCATCGGTACTGCTGAAGAGTTTGGTGACATGGATAACCAAAGGTCCGTCTTGATCACAAGCAACCATTGAGGCCCCAATCTTGGTATCCACAGGCCCAGTGTAGTATCGCTCCAATGCTCTTCGGGCACCTTCCACCGGGGAAGGAACGTGCTGAACAACCATGTCCACAAAGCCAGTGGCCGGCCCAAAGAATTTCTCGCAGACAAGGCTGAGCAGCTCCTTGGCATCGGTCTTGAGCTGAGATGGCTTCAAATTGACACCGACGCTAGCCAGAGTCTGTTTCAAATCCTCGGGACTCTCACTTAGTGTGTGAGAGTAGAGCTTGTAGACCGGCTCCAAGACAAACTTGACGAATGACCGCTTTGCGTTTTCCTCCACTCCCTTGCGAGTGAACTTTCGGCTCTTGGGATTGTAGAAGATGTCACCCCAAAGTCGCGCGGCAAATTCTGTCGCGTCCAAGCTCGGGTAATTGTCTGCATACATCCGGGAAAATGACTGCAATGTAAAGCACCAGTTCATCGAGCTTGATGCGAATGCAACATTGCCCTTCTCGGGGCTTAGTCGTCGTCGCTCGCCTTGCCCTGGCAAAATGTTCTCGATAATCGTATTGACCTCTTCAATCACATGCTTCAACTTGAAATAGGCATCATTGGGAGGAAGTTTGAGCTCGAGAATGAGTCGATCCATCTTGTTGACGACCAAGGTCAAGGGAAGATCTTCCAATACTGCATGCTTGATAATTTGCTCAGTGTTCGCCTGAACACCTTCGACAACATCCACAACCAGTACCACACCATCCGCTAGGCGGATAGAGGCAGCCACCTCATCGACAAAATTCACATGCCCGGGGGTATCAAGGAGGTTGAGCAGGTGAGATTTGCCTTTGGTGCTTGGGAGAACGAGACTCATCGGTGCCGACTTGATTGAGAGACCGCGCTCTCTCTCTAGGAAATGAACATCAGTGTATCGCAGTTGTTCCTCCCTCTTCCGTCCTGTGCGCTTCTCCAGCCGCTCTGTTAGGTCGTGCGTCTGTTTGACCAGCATATCCATGAAAGCAGTCTTTCCATGGTGCAGGTGACCAACAATTGCGACGTTCCTTGTCTGTGCTGGGAAGCTCAGGAGATCAGACATGAATTCCCGAGAGAAGTGTACATGTGGGAGTTCGGTCTCTGCGATCGCAAATTTCTTCTGCTGGACGGGGGCAATGATGGGCTCTGATAATGGCTGGGCATCTTCCTCCTGGACCATAGTTTCGACATCCTCGCCGTAGACTTGTTGTGCGCTGGGGTAGTATTGCTTGTCTTCATGCAATATGACCGCATTCGAAGGACCCTCTGCGGAAGAAGGCGCAAGATTAGTGAAATTGCAGACCTTGAATAAGACATATCGACATACCATCGACTTCCATCAACTGTTGATCATTTATCTCCTCCTCCTCTTCTTCATCATCATCGAAAGCCTCATCGAACTTGAAGGCTTGAGGCTGGACATCTTCATGATGCTCCTCGTCGGATTCCGCATCGCCGATGTAGTTACCAAACCTAGGTACAATTAGTAAGATTGTGGATTTAGAGAGTTGAATAAACATACTCATCATAGAGGTCATCCATAATGAAAAGAGAAAGTGAACGTATGAAGGTTAAAAAAAAAGAGCGTAGCTCCAGACGCGTGCCGGAGAAGTTGAGGATCTCAACTTTCACTTGGTCCGAGCGTCTTTTGGAGTACTCGTGCCTACACCGTACAGCTCCTCACTCCCCACCATACAATTTACTCTTATAGATGCCCCTCCCTCTTTGATCTCTTGGATCTTTACTTTACTTCTCTCTACTTTTGTATATCCTTTCTTATCCTCTCCACTTCCACTTTTTTCCCCCAAAATGTCTTCTCTTCCTCCCGTTTACATCGTTTCTACTGCCCGTACTCCCGTGGGCTCTTTTCTGGGGTGAGCATTCCTCTATTCTTCTTTTCCTCCCCTGAAGACTTGATCTGACATTGGTTACTGTAGCTCCCTCTCCAGCTTGACTGCTCCCCAGCTTGGTGCACATGCCATCAAGGGTATGGCATATACCCCAAATAATACCACACCCATCTTCAATGCTAATAATAATTTGCAGCGGCTGTCGAGCGGGCTGAGGGTATCAATGCCTCTGATGTCGAAGAGGTTTTCTTCGGTAATGTCTTGTCTGCTGGGTAAGTTGTCTTTGCTACATCCTATACTGCAATTGAGACTGACCTTTTTTTTTTCGTTTATAGTGTTGGACAGAACCCCGCCAGACAGTGCGCCATCGGTGCTGGCCTTAGCGATTCTACCGTCTGTACCACTGTCAACAAGGTCTGCGCTTCTGGCCTGAAGGCCATCATTCTCGGTGCCCAGACTATCATGACTGGAAACGCCGATATTGTTGTCGCTGGTGGAACTGAGTCCATGTCGAACACCCCTCACTACCTCCAAACTTCTCGCAGCGGTACCAAGTTTGGCAGCCAGACCCTAGTTGACGGTATCCAGAAGGATGGTTTGACTGATGCCTACGGCAAGCAGGATCTTATGGGTGTTGCTGCCGAGGAGTGCGCCGAGGATCATGGCTTCAACCGTGCCCAGCAGGATGACTATGCTATCCGCAGCTACGAGAAGGCCCAGGCTGCCCAGAAGGCCGGTGCTTTCGACTACGAGATTGCCCCTATTGAGATCCCCGGCTTCCGTGGCAAGCCTGGTGTGACTATTTCTCAGGATGATGAGCCCAAGAACGTGAGTACCTCTTGTTCTCTGCGCTAGATTATTGTGACTTTGACTGACCATTCCTTTCGGCTTATAGCTCAACCCTGAGAAGCTCCGCGCCATGAAGCCCGCCTTCATCCCCGGCACTGGAACCGTGACCGCCCCCAACTCTTCGCCCCTGAACGACGGTTCCGCCGCTGTTGTCTTGGTTTCCGAGGCTAAGGTGAAGGAGCTCGGTCTGAAGCCTATTGCCAAGATTCTGGGTTGGGGTGATGCTGAGCAGAAGCCCAGCAAGTTCACCACCGCTCCTGCTTTGGCTATTCCCAAGGCTCTCAAGCACGCCGGTGTGACCCAGGACTCCATCGACGCCTTTGAGATCAACGAGGCCTTCAGTGTTGTGGCCCTTGCCAATCTGAAGCTCCTTGGTCTCTCCGAGGACAAGGTCAACATCCACGGTGGTGCAGTCGCCATTGGACACCCTCTCGGTGCCAGTGGTGCCCGTATTGTGTCTACCCTGCTCGGTGTCTTGAGCGCCAAGGGTGGCAAGCTTGGCTGCGTTGGTATCTGTAACGGTGGTGGCGGTGCCAGCGCCCTGGTGATTGAGTCCATTTAAAGAGTAAACTCTGTTAACGAAAAACGGAGATGTGAAACGACCTTCTATCTTTGCATATGAAATACCAAGTCCATTTTTGACGGGGAAGATACTCGGCGGTTGTCTGCAGACATACCCCATCCTGCAGCGACGAACATTCGCAGTATCAGTACCGTTTTCTCGGTATCTAGAATAGTTAATGAAATATCCTTGTGTGTTTATATCCTGCTTTCCACTTGGTTGCTTCGTGTTGGTCTGAGATGAAGACAGAGTCGGGTTTGAGGGCCGATCTTCCAGCACTTCTAACGCCAAAGCACTCAGTTCGTATTCTATATTGCCATTTCTACTACACCCATTGGTCACTGGAACATTGGACGGCACCAATATATTTCAAAATAGAGATGGAGTTATTTTGATGGTCCCGGAATACTTATAAAGCAGTCACTCTGCCCAGGTGAGAATATTACCCTCGATAGCCCACACCGTTTAGGACCTCAGCCATGATACCTAAAACCGAAAAAGACAATGAGAGCATTGAGCAGGCTAAGACCCTCCATAATCGGTTTTGGGGAGAGGAATATGAACGAATGATATCGGGGATGCTGTAAGAGATACCTCTCTTCTAGTATAGACTTCAATCCAAAATCAAAGGGTTCTAACTTATATACAGATACAACCCTCTAGGCCCCGAACTCATAGAGGGCAGGTCTCGAGCAAGACGTTTAATGGCGATATTCAACGCACCGCTTTTATTGGAAGCCTCCACATCGCAAGTAGTCTCTCAGCGAGAAGACATACTTCGAGACCTCTTTGGTCGTGTTGGGCCAGGAGTATACATTGAGCCTCCGCTATTCGTGGATTATGGTTGCAATATCAGTATAGGTAGCGGATTCTATGCCAACTTTCATTGAGTCGAACTTCTGTTGTGGAAGAAAACAACCAAATCTAAAGTCCCCTCAAGTCTTCACTGTACTGGACTGTGGCTTAGTTTCCATTGGGGAAAATGTCATGATTGGGCCTAATGTCAACATCATCACGGGAGAACACGAGACGGGGATCGAAACGCGAAAGGCACATAAAGGACTGGAGTTTACGGGACTCATTGTTATTGGAGATGATTGCTGGATTGGAGCTAATGTGACGGTCCTGGCTGGAGTCACCATTGGCCATGGATCTTCCATCGGTGCTGGCTCCGTGGTGAAACGGGATATACCAGCTTTGAGTGTTGCAATGGGTAGTCCTGCTCGAGTCATTAGGTCGGCATGAAAAGATGACTCAAGTGTGTCTCATGTGTTCCATGAGAATCCCCCGGGATGTAGTATATATCCACATATAATTCCTGAAATGAATAGAGTATTATTTGGTATACACTTAGAGAAAGGAAAGATCGCTTGCTTCGTTAATCTATCCGACATTATAATCGAGAAATCCCACAGAACAATAATTAAGCTTTCAAGCAAAGGCTCCGACGAATGCCATGAGGAGAGCACCGCAGGCAACAGACACACAAGCCTCAACACGTCGTCTGCCCTTGAGGGTCTCATAACTTGACTCACTCAGGAAGTCCTCAGCGAGGAGTTCCACCAGGCCCGCGAAGAGCAAAAGACCGCTGCTAATGGCATTGGTGATGCCAACCATCAGCAGGCCTGTTGCGCTGGCTGGATCGTAGAGATTGTGTAGAACCAAACCGATAGCTTGGCCAAGGGGAGTTGTCGTTCCGTATGCCAGTGACATAAGCCATGGTTTCATTGAATTCGGAGCGAAGAGATCCGGTATGAGTGACGCAATCCGAGACCCCAGGGCAAAACCTTCAAAGGTCTGATGAAAACTGATTGCAATTAACAGGACGACGAAAGAGGTGCCAGTTGCAACACTGAGCGCCATTCCGATGAATATGCTGTGAAACAAAATGCCAGCTTCCAAGAGCAGGCATTGTAGAAGCTGACGTTGCGGATTCTGGATTGGCGTATCTGTGTCAGTCTGCTGTCGGTGGCTTTCGCTTACACGGGGTCGATGCCGGTGGACAGACTGTGACCGCGCAGCATGGGCTGCCTGTCCACTGATGAGTCCGTCGTCATCCATGTAGTCATCCAGCCCATCAAGGTCATCCTCGTCGTCTTCTTTATCCGGTGATGAGTCCGCCAGGTGAAGGCGGTCCGATTCATGGGACGAGCCCGAAGCTCTCGTCGCCCGCAACTTGGAGTTGTGTCCCATGCTATCTAGATTGATATCATCTGAAACCTGCAGGGCCTCTAGCCTCGAGTAATCGACATCTGGGCTTCCCCCATCACGTATTGAGTCACGCCCAACCTCACCAATGAGATTATCATATTCGCTTCCGTGCACGTGCTTTGCGCCTTTCATCGCAAAGAACATTTCCACGATAACGACTGCAAAGACCGATATCATTGCAACAAACCCTGGCATAGCACGATATGTTTGACTCCAAAATCGAGGGAGACAGGGATCGGTCAGAGAGACGAATGCTGTGGGAAGCAGATGGACGAATGCCGTCGCAATTAATACACCCGTTCCAAAATGTCTTGATATAAAGAGGAACCGACGGGGAATTGGGAGACGAGGGAAACGGCGCGCCAGAACCGGAAAAGAGCAAGCTGTTGTAGTTTCAGCCATTAGCAATGGCCAACTTGGGAGATCCGAGAGAAGCTAGTGCATACCGAATGTACTCAACCCAAGGATGAGGAACAGTGCCATAACATGCAACGGGGTATTATATGCCCCCCTCTGTTTGGATCCGCATGCCGGCGTATCATCTGAAGCTCCATCTCGCCGAAGAAGTTCTGCTCGCAAGAGAGCATCGGGGATTTCTGAAATTGCGGAGAGGGCACGCTTCAAGTCTGCTCGGAACTTGGTTAGAAACCGACCACGATCAATTTTTAAAGATGGCTAACCTGAGGGTAAATCCTTTGCAGTCTGCCAGTCCTGGGCATTCTGCATTTTGGTATCGTCTCGAATCTGTTGAGCTGTAACCACATCCCCAGTTGGAGAGGGGAATGTTTGTAGGCCAGGTAACGTCGAAGAGATATAGGTAGTCACGCAATTGAGTTAAGACAAAGATGAGATTGCACAGAATAGTAGATCGGGGAGAAAGACAATAACACAAGCATAGATATAATTTTAAACCAGAAAGGCCAAGGGTGGTTTTCGGACACGCGATAAAGTGAGTCTCAACTCTTGCCCCTTCGCTTAGTCATACATACTGGATACCTCCAGGGCTCCCACGTGGGCAATACAAGTCCTGGGATTTGTGTAATTTATTGAAATGAAGTGAGGAAGTGAGGAAATGATATGTGATACATGGAATAAATATTAGACAGCCGATCCATGTCCTCTACCTGCTACCTTAGTCCATCCTTTGGTGCCTTTGGGTCGCGAGGAAGAGGCATCCTCATGGCCTTGAGTCCTCCCAAAACGTGTTTTTGAAGTAGTTCTGTCTGTTTCCACCGATCCGGATTGAGAGCCCGAAACAATGACCTTGGGGCTTTGCGGAACAGATGGCTGAGGGGAATCCATGGACGTATCATCCCATTCTTTTTCTTCTAGTAATTCCCATTCCGCACTGGCCATTTCCCCTAGAAGATTGGACTTCAATTTATCTACAATCTTGGTTGGGGTTGGGAGTTTCCATATTCGCATGAATTCAACTCCTTCCGATGCTCCCAGGAAAGAATGTGCCGTGCCATGAGAATAGTGACCCAACATGGGAAAAGAAGTTGTCCGCTGAATCGTGGTTCTGGGAGAGTCTTTGGCAGATTTCATTTGTGTCTGCGTTTCTCGGCCGGCAAAAGCTCGCATCAGTGTTGAAGGATGGGCTGGTGGAGCAACTAGCAGTTGCCACAAGCTCTTTCCAATATCGCAGACCTCCTCCCAAGAGTCCGATGAGAGGTTTATTCCTTGAGTTCGACATAACCATGCAACATTCCATGCTAGGAGGGTGGCTCCTTCGAGAAAGAAGGCGTATGTTGCGGGATCCTCCTTCGCTAACCGGGGTAGCGGCTTGTCAATGAAGAGAGGCCGCGGGCGTGGTGTGTGGGTGCGCGGGTCCACCGTCCTTGATGCAGCTGGACTCGACGAAGACTGGTAATCAGCTCCATCGTGACTGTCGCGCGAGCGATATGATGCTGAGGGGGTGTAGATCGTAGGCACAGGATAGTTTTTGTGAGGCAGTGTAATTTCCGCGGGAAGTCTCAAGGAGAGATAGTGTGAGACAATGATCAGAAGATGAGCGATGTTAGAAAAAGATGTGGATATCTGTTCCTGTGGAATACCTGTACTCGCCTTGTTAGTATTCCACGGGATGAATAACTGCTTGAAAGCGACATCGGGGCGATGTAAACTTGCCATTCATATCCCTCAAGTCAATGATAAAACCACATCCAAGCACATATGTCTCCCGACCTTGGCCCTTCTTCGTAGCCTTCCGTAGGCCATAGAGATTGGCAACTTCTCGGCAAAGATAAATACGTGACTCCGCCGTCTTGCTATGGAGGGAATGCCAAACGTGCTCCGCCCGTTTGCTGGTATTTTGAACGCCCGCCAGGATTCCAGTTTCCCGCTCTTCTAGTTGAAATTTGGCAGATTCAGCATCTGAGCGTCTGCGAGCTAGGGCTTCTTTTTGCTTGGCAATCTCGGCTTTTTTGGCTTCGACCTCTAATTTCAAAGCCTCAAGCTGATGCGAAACCAACTCCCTTTTTGCCAAAGACACTGCATGTCGAGTGCTTATCATCTGCAGGACCCAGCGGGGAGAGCAAGCTTCCGTATCGAGCAGGTCTTGTCCATTCGGGGAAGGCTTATCCCAGGAGCTACCACAGGTAATAGCGGTTTCGATTTGCTTTCCAAGGACTTCTTTCTCCAGAAGAACTTGAGTGCTGTCGATTCGTAGTTGATATAGCTGATTGCGGGCACATGTCGGACAGTGGAAAGAAAGGCGGGAATGGGGGGCACGTGAGCATATGGAACAGCTCATCGCAGACAATTTGATTTTATTTTCAGCTGTTCTTTGAGAGCGTAAGGGGAATTTCCATGTTGCGTTCCAGGATAATTATTGGTGCTACTTGAGTCGCCGCCGAGAACCATATAGAGGAGTGAGAAGGGGTCATTAAAGAGATGCAAATCCCACATGACTCAAATAATATGCTGATATAAAGGATACGACCGGCCTCAAGACATCACCTTTAGCCAATATTTCTTTAGAGAAAAGGAAGAGAAGAAAAGACGGGATGATGTGCACATGCACTTGTCGACGTCACCTGACACTCCGTTATCGCAATCTTATCTCTCATTTCAATGTTGGATAGGAACATCCACGAATCAAAACAAAAGTGACTCCAAATTCCACTGAAAACAATCATTGCTTTTGATATGGCTTTGTTCTGACACATCTTCATACCAAGCCAGCCAATCCAATATGCAGTCAACACCAAACAGGACCAGTAAAATCCCTCGACGGGGGACAATGTCACCCCGTGTCAGTCAAGGAAGCAAAAGCCCTCCAGGCAGTGGGAGCTTCCAAGGGAACAAAAGCGCTCAATCACCAGTTGAAGCTCTTACATCTGCCCCTATTCATGATGAGATCCCACTTGTCTCTGGGTTGACACAAGGACTTGAGGACTGCAACTGGGAACAACTCCAGGGGAAATATGCCGATGCAATGGAGGAACACAGCCGAGTCGAAGAGAATCTTCGTGTTGGAACAGCCAAGCTTCTTGAAGTAAGTTACAGAAGCACGTTCTACTTGCAGTTTCGTGTCTGAGCAACCGGTAGGTTTTCATGGCATGGTCTCAAACTACCGTTTCGCAAGATGAGAACAGGGCTTTGAAAAGGTACGATCAACCCAGATTTGGCCTAATATATCAATGAACGAATAATTAACTTTCTATAGGTTCAAGACCCAAATGCAGCACGTTCAAAATTCCGAAATCAATGTGGAAAACAAAAAGAAGCATTGTAAGTCTCCTCTTGTCCTTTTGACTTGAAAACAAGGTCTGATCGCTCATATGTCTAAAGATGCGGAAGTAGTAAAGGCTTTCCAAAATGCTCTCGCCTTGCTAAACGATCAAATGAAGCTTTAGGCACATGATCGATACGATGTTTATGAATTATGAGTTTATGTAACCCTTCCCCCAGGGAATCGATCTTCCAAGACAGGAATTGAATCAGTATGCAAAAAGCCATCAAAAAGTCATCCATTATGTATTTCCTCACTTATATGATGGCTTAAGATGAAAAATGAAAAATGAAAAACAAATGTACTACAAATAAAGAAAAAGACTATCGAAATCCTTGGAGTCATTCAAATGGGACTGCTGGAACATCACCAATAATCAGTATTGCAGGTAAAAGAATTACAAGTTAATTTATCACGTGGTCTCGGTGACTACGAGGCTTCGGACTCTACCTAGGTAGTCACCGTCATTTGTAAGGCCCCAGCGGTTATCCCCGAGAGCGTTCACTCCGGGCAGCTCTCCCTGTGATGTCTTGCCAGCTGGCGTTGAAACGTCTGCCGGTATTGGCCAATAAACCTTCCTCCTCGGCTTCCTCTGCATCGTCATCGAGTTGCGCTTCGTCCAACCGAGGTGAACGGAGAAGGGAAGTAACAAAGACAATCAGATATAAGGCTGTGGTGTTGGTGTTAGATCAATGAACATGGAATTCTGGTAGGAAGGCAACAGTATTTAGACTTACCTAGGAAGAGGAATTGAGCCCAAAAGAACACTACTCCAAAGAATGGGTAGTTCAGGGTGACCCGGTTCAAGAAAGTGCTCACAACACTAGGTGTGCAGACTTGCTGCGCAGCAGGATTCTTTGCCAACTCTGAGCATGGCTTGATAAGTTCTTTGTTGTTTGAGCAATCTGGCTTTCCGATAAAGGTTCCCGGGGCGCGATCACAGAATGTCTGTGGGCCGAATGTGGCATACTGGGGGGCTACTATCATCGAAATGGAATAATTCAGCGCTAAAATAATCAGCATCAACATGGCGGTGGCTAAGAGTAGGGCCTGGGGAGATGTGTGGCCATTTCTGATTTGGAAAATCCTAATCCATAGGAAGCGGATTCCGACCACAGCAATTCCAACCACAGAACTGCAGAAAAACAGCAATATAAGTGCTGTGAATATAGCATAGTCAATGGGAAAGAACCTGGCGGATTTAACAAGTGCCCAGTTGACGGGGTTAAAGATGTTGACATGTGCGAGAATGTATCCACAACGATGCTTGCAAATCGAGTTCTTTGCTTTGTCAATTGCCGTCAAGAGCATGGATACCCACGTGAGGAAAGCAATGAATAGCAGCAAGATGCCTCCCAGGAGCTTGAAGGGACGGAGCACTGCCCCGAGTTTGTACCATGCCCTTATCAACCAGCTGCGGCCTCCGCCTTGGGATTCTTCGGCTAGACGTTGGCGTCGAATCAGGGTTCTCTCTTCCCGTACCAGTGTATCAAGTTCTCGGCGGTCCTTGGACGACAGAAGCTCGGGATCTCCAGCACATCGTCCCTCCAGCTGCCGTTGCCGCTCTTGGTTTATGTCAAGTTGTTGCGTAGTGCTCGCTCGCAAGGTAGCACTAGAGATTGATGGTGCAGTCTTGATCAAGCTGATTGGCAGAAGGGCCAGTCCCACGGATGTGTATAAGACATAAAGACAGAGTCCAATTGTCATCAACAGACCAAGAGCGAAAGTGAGAGCACGCTCGCCATCTTTTCAAAGTTATGTCAGCTTCACAGTTCTGTTCAACGCCAGGATACTCGAATACTCACGGTTTTCGGTCAGTAAGCGCTTGAAGTAATCCAGATCCATGTCATTCTTTCCCTGTGACACTGGGACGAAGAAACCAACTAGGAACAAGATCACAACGACTGCAACGAATGAGAGCGTGTATTTGAGGGCACCCCAAATCCGTTGGCCCAAAGTCTGGTCCCCTTCCTCGGTCGCAACCTCATCATATTCCTCATACCAGAAATATGTGAAGGGGATGACCAGAAGACAGAGCAAGGCATCCAAGGAGTAAAGAAGATAATAAATGATGGTCAAGGAATAAGTGATTCTGTCCACCACATCCTGTGTTGCCCAGTCCTTTCGCTGGCCTAGCTTGGACGACGTAGTCGATGATACCAAAGCGACATCGACAGGCAGCAAGAGCACTGTTGCGAGAAGACAGGTAATTGAGATAATGCAAGCCAGAGTAACTGAAGGAGAGCGGTCGCGGGGAGTTTGGTAGACATAGATAAACACTGACGCCACTGCCAGTAGAATAGCTACCACCACCCCATACACAGCCCAGATAAGGGAAGTCTGAAGGAGTGCCATATTGAAGGATAGCAGTTCACACTGTGCACATTGATTGTGAGGTCTGCATCAACACTCCCAGAAAAACACTGAAGGAATGATGCCAGGAATGAGACTTACAATTAATACCAAATCAAGAAAAATGATCTTCCCTTTCCGAAGCTGGCGATCGCCTGTGTCGTCATTGATTATTCGACGCTAAACCATTTTGAGGCCTCTACAGCAAAGGGCGGTAAAATTTTATCAGGCAGAAAATATTGACCGCTCGATTCTGCCAGACCAGTCAGCTGACCCACTCCCATCTCCGCTTTGCTTCCGCTTCAAAGGAGCTACAAACTTGACTGCACAAGGCAGAGATCAACTTGATCTTGACCTTGATCGCTTCTCGTGTTTATATTGAAATTTTTATCTGTGTTATCTCTTTTTGTGCTTACAAGGCTTCACAATCTCGGTTTTCTGCCCCTGGGTTTGCAATTGCAATGTGCATCTCAGGCCATATCAAAAACACAATTTAGCTCATTGGCGGTTTCCTAGCAGTATCAAGCCTTTCACGAGCTTTGACGGTGGACGAAATCTTCAAATGCAGTGCTACACAGAGCTATTACCCCCCACGGGGGTCACCCATGCCTTGGCAGTTCCTTTCACCTCAGCAACCGCCAGCAATTTGATTGTTGTCAGAACCTCTCTATTGCAGGTTTTCTCGCTCGTTAAGGTCGTCTCCTCTCAACCACCACAGAAAGAAGGTTCAGAGCCTCATTCTTCACAATTTTCTCAACCAGAAACGAAATTAGTACTGGAAAAAGAATACCCGCTATCCGGAACCGTGACTGATTTAAGCCGAGTCAAAATCTTGAACACCAAGAGTGGCGGAGAAGCCATATTGATTGCAGTTCGCAATGCCAAGCTCAGCTTGATTGAGTGGGACCCTGAGCGTCATGGAATCTCAACAATTTCCATCCATTACTATGAGCGGGATGATCTGACCCGCAGCCCCTGGGTGCCTGACCTGAGCCAGTGTGGGAGCATTCTGAGCGTTGACCCAAGCAGTAGATGCGCGGTGTACAACTTTGGCATTCGCAACCTCGCGATTTTGCCCTTCCATCAGGCGGGTGATGACTTGGTGATGGATGACTACGATTCGGAGCTTGACGGAGAACACCCAAATCAGAACTCTGGTGGAGGAGCACAGATCGAGAAGAGCAAAGAAGAACCAGCGCACCAAACACCCTACTCCTCGTCTTTCGTCCTGCCATTGACTACCTTAGATCCTTCATTGCTACACCCCATAAGTCTTGCGTTCCTATACGAATACAGGGAGCCGACGTTTGGAATCTTATATTCTCAAGTCGCAGCCTCGACTGCCCTTCTTCATGAAAGAAAGGACGTGGTATTCTACGCTGTGTTTACACTGGACCTTGAGCAGCGAGCTTCTACCACCCTTCTTTCGGTATCTCGTCTTCCTAGTGATCTGTTCAAAGTCGTGGCACTCCCACTTCCAGTAGGAGGTGCCTTGCTTCTTGGCTCAAATGAAATTGTTCATGTGGACCAAGCCGGTAAAACCAATGCGGTGGGAGTCAACGAATTTTCAAGACAGGTTTCTTCATTTTCAATGACCGACCAATCGGACTTGGCGTTCCGTCTCGAAGGCTGCGTGGTTGAGCGACTTGGCGGTGATAGCGGTGACCTACTCCTGGCACTTGCATCCGGCGACATGGCACTGATCAAATTCAAACTTGATGGTCGGTCTGTCTCCGGTATCACTGTTCACTCCCTTCCGGCGCATGCAGGTGGAGATATTTTGAAGTCGGCCGCCTCATGCTCCACCTGTCTCGGGGATGGAAACGTCTTTATCGGCAGCGAAGATGCAGACTCGGTGCTCCTAGAATGGTCGCATTCATCCGCCTCTACGAAAAAAGCTCGGCTTGAGTCAAAACAAACAGCCGATGGTCTTGATGATCTGTCGGATGATGATGACCAGATGGAGGATGACGACCTTTATTCCTCGGCGCCTGGGCCGACACAAGTCGATAATCGCATGGGAACCGACAACTCAACCCCCAAGTTTTATAACTTTCGACTGAACGATCAACTCCCTAGCATTGGGCCACTGAGGGACATCACTTTGGGCAAAGCTTTCTCGAATACGAATCGCAAAAGCCAAGCTACAAGTGAAACTGTTGCCGCAGAACTGGAGTTGGTGGCATCTCAGGGCTCAGACAGAGGCGGTGGCTTAGTAGTCATCAAGCGCGAAATTGATCCTTTGACTACCATGTCTTTGAAAGTCGATGATGCGGACGGTGTTTGGTCAGCAAGCGTCACAAAAAGGAGAGGGGCTTCCAGCACAGACAACCCCTCTTGTCAATACGTGGTTATCTCTCGGTCTACAGATTCGGAGCAGGAGGTGAACGACGTCTTCGTGGTGGAGGAACAAAGCTTGAAGCCTTTTAAGGCACCCGAGTTCAACCCGAACGAAGACTGTACGGTTGATATTGGATCTTTGGCAGGCGATACTCGTCTGGTTCAGGTTCTGCGGAATGAAGTCAGAAGCTACGACATAGGTACTTTCTTCTCCAGTGCGCTAGCAAACATTGCATAAGCTAATGGTGAAACTCTACAGACCTCGGATTGTCACAAATTTACCCCGTTTGGGATGAAGACACCAGTGATGAGCGCGTGGCTGTGAGCGCAAGCTTTATTGATCCTTATCTTGTGATTATTCGGGATGATTCATCGGTATTGCTTCTGCAGGCGGATGAGAGTGGTGACCTCGATGAAGTTCCGCTTTCAAATGAGATTAGCTCATCACAATGGCGCTCCGGATGTCTTTATCACGATAATTCACAGTCATTCAGCGTTGCAGGCCCATCGTCGAAGGACTCTTCAGAAGGCGAGGTGCTTCTATTCCTATTGAATCTGGAGTATAAGCTATCAGTAGGTTGTCGCGAAAGAAAAATTCAGACATTGGTGCTGAC